ATTTAGCAGCTTTTAATAATCTAAGAAAAAATGATTGTGTACTCTGTCTTCCAACTGATGTAACAATTTTTTATGGTAGAAAGTCTTTTAGTGCCTTTGCCCAGAGTAACAGGTACAGTACTCTTTTGATACATCTGAAAGTTTCTAGCAGCCAAAAGTTTAAATGTTTAAGGTTGGGAGGGAGCTAAGGAGGGAGAAATCTGCTAAACATCACATAATAATATATAAATGTTAATTAGAGGAGGGTTTTTAAATGGCTGATCCAATTAGTGTCTGCTTAAAGTTCCCTGAATGCAGAGAAAAGCTTTTTGATCAAGGCGATAACATCAGATTCTGTGAAAGGTCTCGGAATGAAAGAGATTCTTTGTTCTGACACTTTCCCATCTTTTTGGGCGCCCCCCTCCCCCTCCCAATCAGATCTGCTGTCATACCTGAAAGCAAGAAGAAGTCCTTCATCTCCCTCTCTTCCCCCACCTCCCCTTTCTTTCCCATGTCATTATCTTTTTTTATATAACTGGTAAGCAATTACACTGCTTCATATCCTGCTATCTACCTTTCTTCTCCCACTGCATTGGTTGAATCTCGATAATTATCCATATTACCTCTGTATTTCCCCACGGTCTTGTTTTATGTAAATTTACCAAGAGTCACATCCAGTCGCTTCCGCTGTGCCAGCAGAAGATGCCTATCGGGGGATGAGGACATGGATGTATTTGTTCTTGGTTTACGATTGTAGAGCAAAGTTCCACGTGATATTTTGTGCAGAGAAACATAAGGATAAAACTCTGCCATTACAACTCTAAAAAATGAATAGCTAAGAACCTTCTAGCACAAGAGTGATCCTTGGAATCTTCTTTAAACCAGGAGTGAAATGCTACCAGTTTGGACTGGTTCGCCCAAACTGGTAGTAAAAAAATGCTACTGGTTCGGGCGAACCGGCAGTTCCAACTATCAGCTGTGCGACAATCAGCTGTGTCTTGGAATTTTTATTCGCTAGAAAACAGGAAATCCTTTGCAGACTCAGAAAAGACTTCTTACTCCTCCTTTTTCAATGCTGCATAGTAGCGCTTGTGGTACGCATGCGCGCATAGTGCACATGCAAAGTGCACACCCAGCAGTGGTGGGATACGACCAGCACGTCCTGGTACGGGCGTACCGGTGCCTGCTGGGAGCACCAGGTACCATTCTGGTGCTTCAGAGGGCGCACCCACTCTCCTGCACTCCTTATCTGTATTTGAGCTGTTCGGGGCTTCCACGCACATGCATGGAGTGTACGGCACCTGTGCAATGCTCCAATGAGCAGCTGGAGCATCGCAGAGGTGTTGTGGGCAGTAAGTACGGCATTCATGTGGTGGACGCCTAGCCCCGTTGCACCGTACCAGTTGCACCGGGATCCGGAACCCACCACTGACACGCAGCAAACCAGTAGAAAAGCGAACCGGTAGCAGACTTCAGAGCATTTCAACCTTGGTTTAAACCCAGAGTTTTTCAAAGGCATGATGGCTGAGTAACACTGGGCAAGTTCCACCCAACTGCAGCTACCCTGCGAGCAGAAGATGCTTATTCTGGTACACTTTAAGTTCTTTCCTTCTGCAGTCCTGTATAGTCCTTCACTCTGCACCAAAGCATCACTAGATAGATTGATACTCAACAGTAGCATACACGGACAATTTTTAAAGACATTTTGAGGAAAGGTTGCATCCCAACTTTGCTTTTTCTCCCCATTTGGTTTGTGTAGACATTTGACCATTGATGAATGTGACCCACTATATTATAGTTTGTTATCTACCATCTCCCTTTCTCTCTCATCTATCATTTATCATTGCACATACATACACATTCTTAAATTAGCTTTCCTTTAAGAAAAATCTACACACGGTTGATAACATAACATAAAATATGGATGCCACCATAATCATAGCCAGACATTATATTAAGTCTTAAGACTGCAGGTTTCCATAAAGGCACCTGAAAGTAAATCAGTAATTGAGTGAAGCTTCCACTCCTATAGATAAGGATTGGTATGTAAGGCAATTTTCGCTTGCTATTTGGCAGTAAGAAATCAGTTTTCATTATAATCTCTGTCAGTTTTGAGTACAGTGATATTTCAAACCCTAAATATATCCTCCCCTTCATAATATATATTTGAGATAGTGAGGTACAGGAGCAGAGTAAAGATGAAATTTACTCTTTCATCTTTAGAAGCCCCAAATGAAGGCTTTCATCTTCAGCAACTCAGAGTTTCAGGCCTTCCTTCTCAGAGCGCCTTGCAAAAACCCAACTGGGTTAGTTAGGACAGCGATCAAAAAGTTATTACTAGTGGCACTACTTTATTTCGTATAAAACCTCCCAGCCCACCAATCTGGGAATTTGGAAAAGCTGCCCTAAATCTTCCAGTTGTAGAATATGGATTTAGAATAGAATAACAGAGTTGGAAGGGACCTTGGAGGTCTTCCAGTCCAACCCGCTGCTTAGGCAGGAAACTCTACACCACTTCAGACAAATGGTTATCCAGCATCTTCTTAAAAACTTCCAGGGTTGGAGCATTCACAACTTCTGGAGGCAAATTGTTCCACTGATTAATTGTTCTAACTGTCAGGAAATTTCTCCTTAGTTGCTTCTCTCCTTGATTTGTTTCCATCCATTTCTTCTTGTTCTACCCTTGGAGAATAGTTTGATTCCCTCTTGTTTGTGGCAGCCCCTGAGATATCGGAACACTGCTAGCATGTCACCCCTAGTCCTTCTATTCATTAAACTAGACATACCCAGTTCCTGCAACCGTTCTTCATATATTTTAGTCTCCAGTCCCCTAATGATCTTTGTTGCTCTTCTCTGCGCTCTTTCTAGAGTCTCCACATCTATTTTACATCGTGGCAACCGAAACTGAATGCAGTAATTCCAAGTGTGGTATATGCATTACTTCACCCCAAACCACCAAAGAAGAAAGATAGCGTTTCCATTCAGATAAAAACAATTTATAGAAACCAATTATATTTTTCTCACCAGTGGAGGTAATAAACTTTGAAACTATGTCTAAAATGTCAAGCACATGGTAGCTTAATTTTTTAGTAATGCTGGAATAAGGAGGGAGGGAAGGAGAGAGAGAGAAAGAAAGCATGAATTAGACTGTGACACAGAAGAGAAGAATTTCAAATGCAGCATTTTAATTTGGTGTGTCCTTTTTTTTCCCCTTGACAACTTTTTAAATGGAGGCTGTTGCAGCTCGTATTTCTCTCTCCCATCTGCAGCATTGCAGTATATTGTCAATATGCTGGCAAGGACAAAGAGGTACACACAGTAATAAGACATTTTAAAATCTCTGTGACAGAACTGCCACTGTTACAAAGCTTCTATATTTGGTTTGGAGAGACATGAAATCCCATTATAGGTGTAAATAGCTCATCTTGGTGGTATATGATACCGGCATCAAGTAATCAGCACTGGTAAAGAAATGAAATGTATTTGTGATTCTGTTTGATCTATCTTGGGTAGGGATTTCAGAATTGGATTTTATAATTAGGATGTGACAGGGAATTGGGTTTTTTCAGGTCTTGGTTTCTGTCTACCAAGGAATCAAGCTCCTTATGTCTATGACCATATTGGTGTGTTCTCTTTCACTTCTCATGTAATCAAACTCTGCAATTGCTTATAAGTTCAGTTTCTATGGAGCAGAATAGTTCAGTACTTAGAAGTGGCATTTGGCAATGTTCAGCCAAGGGCATGAAATTCTCAGAACATATATCGATCGCTTCTGGAATATAGATTTCAAAGAGCCAGGCCTAATTCCAGCCAGTAAAAATGGCTGATTTTCTATAGTTCTATAGTAGAATCAGTGATCGCTAGTCATCTCCTGCCCCAACACCTGCTATAGACCACATTGGATATTATAAGGATCAGATATAGAAAATGTAGCACTTATTTGTGCACAGGAAGGGGATGTTCTCTGTTGGCTGTTGACAGAATTGGTAAGACTAAGTCTTCTACAATTTGGCTCCCTCTATTCCTCCTTCCTCATTAACCTCTTGGCAATTGGGCCTGGTTGAAAAAGAAAGCAAGAGGCTCCATGTTCTCATCTGCAGACAATCCTTGACCTCATCACTTGAGATGGAGAATGGTTTCTTTGACAGCATAATGGACTGTAAAGTTCTCAAAGGTGCCCGCAAAATCAGAACATTGAGAACAGTAATGTTTATAATGAAAGTAGGCTTTGATTGTAGGGTGTGTTGATATGTTGATCTCACATGTTTTTGCCCTGAGGGTGGTGTGAAGCAGAGGTGGGTTCCTACCAGTTCGCACCTATTCGGTGGAACTGGTTCGTCAAATCTACCGAACCAGTTAGAAGAGGTTCCACCAGTGGACCCGGAAAGCAGGCCACACCTACAGAAGAGGTTCCAAATTTTTTTGAAACCCACCACTGGTCCTTGGATATGATTATTCTACATTATCATGCTCATATTTATAAAACTCAGTGCCTCTGTGAAAGGTAAGGATGACTACTGCGTTTGTGATGCAATCAGAACATTGCGTGTGTTGAAGTTGTTTTAACGCAAATCAAAGATGCCTTTTAAAAAACAAGTTTACATCATATTCTTAGGGATGCCAGTGCTGTGTGTGAGGTAATTTAAGGTGGTTCTGACAAGTGTCGTCGGCATCTTCATATCCGGTCACATGGGCGGTAAGTCACTCCCATCCAGTCACATGGGCGGCAAGCCACTCCCACAAAAGAGGCCACACCCACAGAGTAGGTTCGAACAATTTTTGAAACCCACCACTGGTGTGAAGGGTTTGGGAGGGCTAATCTTTTCTAAATCTTGCAATCTTCTGTAGATATGGGATTTTCATGAGGGGTCTGGTGTTGAAGATCTGGGGAGGGGAGTATTGTGAGATAGGAGGTTTCCATATCATGATTTATGGGATCTTGCTTCCTGATTGATTTGCCGGTATCAGCTGACTGTGCATTGTCAATTTCAATTTTAAAAGGGTTTAAGATTTTTATAACCTTGCACATAGGTCAGGGAAGACTTTTTTCTGTGGAATGTGTGGAAGGGGGGTATTTCTAGTGTATTTTTTTGGCTAGCAAGGGTGTCATAGAGATTTTTTTTTACCTTTCAACACTGAATTTGGGAATTCAAGTCAGATTCATATTTTTAGGCATATTTTGTTTTGCATAGAGATTCCATTAGTTTTCCTAGCTATAACATCTATAAAAATATTACATGTGGAACAGCTGCAATAAAATGGCATGGGGTCTCCAGCTTGAGCAAGACTCTTCCAACTCTGTTATTCTGTATTTTATTAAAAAACTATAGCATATAATGGAAAGGAAAGATGAATTAACTTACCCTGAGGTTAATTTTCTGTCTGTGATTGTGTAGGCTCTTCTAGGTTTTCAACTTGACTATTCATTTCAACTGAAAACAAAACAGTAAGGTTATTTTTCCGCATTCTTTTTCAGGTCGGCATTCTTTCTGAAATTCAATAATCAAGTTGCTGAATTATTTCATTAACTGCATTAGAAGATGTCCAAATCACTCTAAAGAAAAATTAATTTGACTGGCTCATTTTAAAAGAAATATTGAAATCATTAATATGAATTTGGGAATCTTTGGACCTGATTTGAAATTTTAGTGTCATTTTAACATTAGCATTGTATGTAGTAAGTAGCATTGCAATTTTTTATTACGGTATATGCCCTAATAAGATTGTAAACATCTGACAGTTCCTCATCCTAGATCACAGCAAGATTACCTGAGAATTAACATATATGAATTATGGTTGGTCACACTTAGCCAGATATCTAGACTGGATTTGGCATTTTTATCTACCTATAAAGGTCCTGGGATAGGTACATATATTATTGTTTGATTGTGTTGAAGTATCTTCTCATGATGTGACCTGTTCCAAATAAAACTGCCTTTTGAAAGTGGCTGATGGTGACTTTATCACTGCCAACTGAGTTCAAGTTGTGCTCCAGTTTTTTTGGGATTGTACCTAAGGCACTTATCACTATTGCTGCAATCTCTGATTTCTTTTGCACAATCTTTGTGTTTCTATTTTTCAAATCTTTCTATTTTGTGATTTTCTCCAGTTCTTTCTCTTTCTCTGGAGACATTAAACTTTCTCTAGTTTAATTATTCTCACAACAGCAGAAAACCACAATTACTAGTTCTTTAGCTGGTATTGATCTTCATACGCTTTGGGTTCTTTCCCAAAGCGTATGAAGTACACTTGGGAAGTGTTCTTCCCAAAGAAGCTAGGATGTTGAAATGTATCGGCAAAGTGTATGTGTGCATAAAAGCAGTGTGGCCTTTTGCAATTGAGAGATAGACATTTTTGTTAATCCACAGAGTTTCTATTGCTGTTCAAGATTTTTTGGTATGGCATCCAGTGTGCCAATAACCATTGAGAGCATCAAGGCTATGACATAATGTTTTGATTTTCAGATTTTGATACTTTGTGATTATTATAATCTGTTCACAACAGTGTGAAATCACAGCTGCCAATTTTTTTTAGCTGGTGTTAGCCTTTATATGCATCGAGTGAGTTCTTTATTATTCTGGTTCACTGCACAGTCAGCCAGATGTTTAGACTAGATTTGGCATTTTTATCTATTTATTGAGACCTTCCCAAAGGCCTGGGATAGGGAGATGTTGTGGTTTGATGATGGTAAAGGTATCATTGCAGGATGCAATTTATTTTTATTTTTAATAATAATACAATAACATCATTTTGCATTTTGCTGATCCCAACCAGGATTTAGTTGCTCTTCATTATATGTACAGGCAGCAAAATAATTAACGTATAATTTGTTTTATATATTGTGTGAGTATGTGTATGTATGTATTTATGTATGTATGTGTATGTGTGTGTATATATGTGTGTGTATATATGTGTGTGTGTGTGTGTGTGTGTGTGTNATGCATGAGTGGTATGCATCTATCTATCTATCTATCTATCTATCTATCTATCTATCTATCTATCTATCTATCTATCTATCTATCTATCTATCTATATCAATATATTCAGTGACTGCATTCCAACCATGGCTTGCTGAACAAGCCAGATGCATGCCAATGTTTTTCATATGAGCAAAGTGATTATATCTTGTTTGTCCAACTGCTTGTTTCTGCCTTCCTTTAGCTGCAGTTGCCTTATCCTCTGCAAATTAGCTCAGGATTGGATGGGGTACAAATAAACAAGGCATCAGCCAGGAATCCACAAGTTAATTCTGTACTCTTATTCATACAGAATGAAACAACCCCCTCCCCATCATTTTAATATGTGGATCATTACTTAAAACTAACCATAGCTTATTCATCCAGTTTTATGTTTGCATCAAGCTAAGCCACAAAATAATCACATTATTAGTTTTGTATGATGTGTGAATCAAATCATAGGATTCTTCCTGTCCCACCTTCAACACCACCATCACCATTAAGTTATCATGAAGGTTAGAAGTGGTAATTTTTACTGGGACATTACTTCTAGCAGTATTAGAAATCATTGGGGGAATAAAGTGCCATGGACCCTGGTCTGATAATGCTGATAATGGGAATCATTTATCATGATTTCTGTAACAGCAATATGAGAAAAAGTTTCAGAAAGAACTATGGAAAGGAATAGCCAGCTACTGTTTTGCCTGCTCTGGTACATCTAACAGTTACTACATAGCAAAGCAACTCAAAATAGTCATGGTTACACAGAGAAGGGCAAAATACCACTATAATAACTAATGCAAGGCATAGGGAATTCCACATGGGAAAGTTAAAAAAGCAAATTCAAAGTTAAATCTTGCATTATAGTGCTGCAGTGGGTGGCAAGCGAAGGATGTTCAATCCATTGGATCAGCAGGTTTTCCATAAAATGAAAACTCTATTTATATAAATCCTCATTTTGTTCATAACGCCTTACCATGTGGGTGGCTATGGAAGGAAGAACAATAGCAGCATTCATTATACTGACATGCATGTGAAACAGGTATTATCCCCAAGCACTTCTTTCCTGCTGTGTAATAAAACTGTGTGCCACCGAGAAATGAGTCCATTTCACATAAACAGGAGAATCTGATCAAAACAAGAAGTGCCTTTCCAAGCATTTTATTCAAAAGGGTTTTTTTCCCCTCCCTCTCTCTCTTTCTCTCCCCCCTGTGCCTTGCTCTCTGCCTTTCAATCTTGATTTCTATTGCTTGGAACACAAACAAGATGCACATTTCAGGAGCTCCACAGCCAGAGATGAGAGATACTAGGATGTATTTTGCAAGATACCACTTTCAATTACCATTTCCAATTGCGTTACTGACAGGCTTGATTATCATAAATCTTCATGGCTGTATGATATTTTGAGAAAATCAATAGCTAAGACCAACTATTTTTAAAACTTCAGTGATGTTCTTTCTGCTCCATGGAAAGATTTGCTTACAGACTTCGCTATTTTTTAAAAAGAAATGTATGTAAATATATCCCATATGCATACAAATAACAAAAATAAAACCTGAAAACACACAATAAGCTTATCTTCTAAGAAAAATGTGATATGGAGTAGATTTTGCAGCAGAATTCTGTTTTAGAAGTTTGAGGGTTAATATCTGTTGTCTGTAAGAAAATATCTAATTTATTTCCTGCTTTCTCTAAATTGTATTGAATCATATAACATAAAAGCTGGAAGTGCACTATTTTTTGTTTCTATCTCTGCTGGAGAAAAGCTTATTGAATTTGTGCTCTGTAGAAATCAGAAGCTGAAACTGATTGTAAATGAACACTTGTCATTATCATTGTACAGTACTGTATAACTTTTAATTATTTGAGATTATTATTTTTTATTACATTTACTCTCTTTGAAAACAAGCAAGAGATTGCTGCAAAGTTTCAGCAAGTAAAAACAAAGGAAGAAAAAAGAAAGAAAATATAAATGTACACATTCCTTTCCTGACTATGTAAACCAGACTGAAATATGTTTTTACTGAAAGAACTTCTGAGGCTGAAATAGACAATCTCTTCACCCCATTTTTAAATTTTTTGCTATAGTCCGAAATAAATCAACCTCAGGCATTTAAGAAATAGCAATCTAAAAGAAGTATCAGGTTCATCAGCATATTCTTGAACTGATTATGATTTAGCGCAAGAAAGTGACTTGCTGAAGATTCTAGCAAATCTGAGAAGGATATGAGTGGACAAGATCTCATGCAAAGTCCTGAAAAGACCAGGACCAGAGTCCTGAGCCATCTTGGCTCAGACTATTCTACAGTTACAGACAGCCTTCCAATGAGATTTATAACAGTACTGAAGAGAGTAGGCTATTAGAGTAGCTTAGCAGAGCCTATAGCAGGGGTGTCAAACTTGCTTTGTCATGGCAGCATCACGTAACGTATCAGGACTTTTTTCCTCTTTTTCCAGCACTGACGTCTCCATGGTCATGTGGCCGGTATGACTAAATGCCGAAGGCACATGAAACGCTGTTACCTTCCCACCAATGGTGATTCCTATTTTTCTACTTGCATTTTTACATGCTTTCGAACTGCTAGGTTGGCAGAAGCTGGGACAAGTAACAGAAGCTCACTTTGTTACGTGGCGCTAGGGATTCGAACCACCAAACTGCCGATCTTTCTGATCGACAAGCCAGTGAACCCTTTAATCTACTAGGCTATTGAGACTTATAGCTATTTAAAACAGCTCTTACCAGAAGATTGTACTTGAAGAGTGCAAGGAGGAGAAAGTGCGTATCTTTCCTCTTTATATGACTGACCTGCATTTATTAATTGCCAACAGCACTTCTTCCCTAGCCAGTCATATAACAATCTGCATCTTAAATTTGTTTCTCCTAATTAGGCACTACTCTAAAAGAAAAGGGCAGATATTCCTTAAATGACAAGCCAAATTTGTCACCTACAGAAAATAAATGACAAAGGTTTCATAACACCTTAGTTACCTCGACTTGTCTTCTTGCGGGGAATAATTTCTATATCACTGCAATTTTCACTGGACCAAACTGAAGGATATATTTTTATCACATCACTGGTGGATATTTGCTAATATTAATGGAAAACTTTCACATACGTTGTTTCCTGCTGCCTTTTCAATAGCGCTATGATGGTGATGCTAAGACAGAAGTTCTCTGTAATACTGCAGTGATCGCACTTATTTTGACACCCACAGGTGTGTACATTTTTCCTCCTTTTCTCCCCCTTATTAAAAGTATTTTAGTACTTTTATGCTTCTCATTTTTCCCTCTGTATGTAGTTTGAACTGTAAGCTGCCCTACGAGGTGACATGCAAATCTCGTTCTAGAATTCTCAAAAAATTCTCAGTGCTAACATGACACCATTCCAAAATTTAAAGAAACACCGAGGAGTTAATGGCTCGGGAAGGCCTGTATAAAAGGATGGATCATTTAAAAGATATTACCCAAACATGAA